TTGACCGACCCTGTCCGTCACGTCTTCCCAGTAGGGTAGTGCAACGGACGCTTAAAACTGAGAGACCAATTTTGATGGGCTTTAATTGATTACGAGATTTATGTAGTTTCTGTTCACATCACTCTTGTTTGAACAGTTCTCCCCTTTTCCTGATGCAGTTTTTCTACCTATTTAGTCCACACTTGAGTAAAAGTGCTATACCTGGGAAGCCAGCGGATCGTCATTCGACGCGTTGAGCAAACCAATCGCCTTCCTCGAATGCAGACCGATGTGATGGTCCAAATGCATAGTGTCCGTAACGCGTTCGCCTCAGATGTCTGAGGTTCAAATCTTGATGGACACTGCTGACGATCTCCAATCAGAGCGAAACTCGAGTCCAGTGCATTCACTTCTTGGTGTAGACTGACTGGAATAATTGTGCTTCACCTCTTATGTCCATCTCATTAGCACCGACAGAAGACATATGCTACGATATGTTGACGTTTCTGTTACCCTCCTCATTTGGGGACTTAAAGCATGTAAGCTATATGAATCAAGAGTAGAAACAGTGTTGTATGGTTGGTTTCTTCAAATCATCTTATCCATGTCAGGGTAGACAAGTAGTTTGTTTTAACTGTTTTTGTGCACCCTATTATGTCTGGTTCGATTTGATCAGCAACGCGTTGCGTATCGCTAAAACCTTTGTTTTGTGTTGTGCAACGACATTCGCAAGGGTTTGAATGGCTCAATCCAAGGGATGTATGGTTGTTGAAGATGCAGTCGGTGCTAATGAGATGACATAATTGCGGTAGGGATGGAGGGGAAAGGAATTTCAGACAAGAGTGATTAGAAAACAACTTTTTACTGTTATTCAGGTTGACTGCACTCTTCCGGACGACAGCTATGCGCCAGTAATACTGGTACTTAACTGTCATTGGTGCTTCTGTTAAATGCATAGTTGTTTATGAGCTGACGTATTGCTTAGGCGTGCAGGTCTAAACGGGAGATTATGCACCTCAGCCAATCTTTGTCCCGAAAGCCTGATCGCAGAGCAGTGGTTGCTGCCCCAAGACTACTGAAGTAGTCAAGATTTTAAGGAACAGTCTACCGCGCTCTCAACTGGGAAAGCGAGGAGACTGTGTTTGTCAGGCCTGTATCTATTAGCTGCATTGACGGATGTTGCCAGAGCATCCAGCACAACTCAGTGGCTTGTTAAAGTACGCAAACTGAGGAACCACGATATATATATATATATATATATATATATATATATATATATAACGAAAGGTCAATGAAATCGCCTCCCTTGCAATTTTTTCACTCAGATGCGATCGCGTTTCATTACCTGGTGTTCCACTCCTGGACTGCTTGGCTGGGCTGCTCGTCGGTTACTTGTTTCGACACCCTCGTCAGCAGAGGAAACTGGTTCGGATGGATGTCATCAGTCGGCACCGATTCCAATTTCAATGAGCACTACGCAGGAAGAACCAAGAATTTCTTTACGTTGGCTTGCGAGCTATGCTGTTCTCTGTCGTATCGGTGTTATGTACGCACTTTTCTTTGCTTTTTGTGGCATTCGGTCACCCGTGGCGTTCTTCCTCTGTTCAATACTAATGTATATAGCGTATCAGATTTTGCGACTGATCCTTTTGCTGGGAAAAGATTTTTATGAAGGAAAAAAGATTTTTTAGTTGTTTTCCACTTATTGTGTAAATTAGTATCTCCTGTATGCCTTTCCGAAGATCGTATAAAGTTATTTTCAGAATATTATGTTATGTCCGTTGTTCTTGAAACCCTAAGTAGAGGATACTTTTCGTCTTTCACGCGGCAGATTGATTTAACACCGTAAATTCTCCTGTGCAACACATTCTGCACCGTTGTTTGCTGTGTACTAATTCAGCCGTAAAACCAATTGGATGCTCCGAGGAAAAATACGTAAGACGCTTCAAGATGCATGAAAATATGTGGAGCCTATCATCATCGTCGACAGCGTGACATCAGTGTTCAGCACCGATGCTTCACTGCCGTACAACCATGACTTATTTGAAAGCCTTATTGTAAAGAAAAGAGTAAATGTGGACAGGGGAGGGACTTAGTGCTAGCTTACCACAATCATTCCGAGGTGCCTACACATCCAGGCATTCACTCAGGCAACCTGGATAGAAACTGACAACAAGAACGCCACTGACATCGGTTGGCAGCCATATCTTGTAGTGTCTCCAACCAGACACAGTGAGGATCGCGCGGTCCCCATCCTGGAAGGCGAGTAGCACCGACAGCACCCAAGCGTTTCGTGATCTCCTTCATACTCCTCTGCCAGGTCATGGGTTGGCCACCTCTCTGTTTACGCCACTCCGAATTGGGCATGGAAAACAGTACTCTCTTCGGCAAACGATGGTTCGGCATGCGTAAAACATGTCCCAACCAACGCAGCTTCTGGTGCTGGACACATTCTTCAATGGAAGTACCCGTTACACAACCGAAAACACGCTTTCTAACTGCCTCGTTACGGATTCGCTGACACCAACCCACACGAGCTATGGTTCTGAGACAACGATTGTCGAACACCTGAAGACGTCTCAGGTCCGCTGCTCGAATAGGCCAAGTCTCACAGCCATACAACAAAACAGTCCGTACTGTAGCTTGATACACACGTCCCTTCAGATTCAGGGATAAACCATTCTGACGCCATAGGTGTCTCAGATTAACAAACGCGGCCCGAGGCCTGCTAACATTTCGGGACCACTGGGATTTCTCTGTGTCTTTGATTTGCTTCTGGTCCACGGGTTTCAGTGCTCACTTCCCCTTGTCTCCTCGTGCATACAGGCCATCATATCCGACTACATAACGACAGCATGAATACCTAATCGGAAGGAATATTTTGTGCTATTAAATCTCCAGTTGTGCACGTCAAGTTGGGCCACGTCAGTTGGTTGCCATACTCCCCCTCACATTAAAGTGAAATTAAATTGTTCTACAGTTTCACAGGACTTTTGTAAGCCACGGGCAAGTTGTGTCTCAGTGGAGTGGCTAATCACGCAGTTAACTTATGTGGCTCCAATTAGCGGCAAAAATTGCTCCTTGGTACATAGACTGCACGCGTGAGCCGAATCAGACCATAGTAACAGAGGTGTAAGACCTTGGGAAATGTGACCTACCTATATGGTTGATCGATCGAGTGGATGAGATGAACCTCAGGACCGGAGTGTTGTCCTCTTGTAGTTAAATCCAACTTCCACAAGGACTGCAGTTGAATCTTCTTCATACAATAATGTACGTAGTTCGCTCCAGCCATCCAGGCGTTTATCCAGGAGGCCAGCCACTTCGAAATCTGGAACCAGTCACTGTCTGCAGTAACACGTCATCTTTGATGACAATACTGGGATTAGGCAACTTATGTTTCACCCCATGCAACCATATCAATTCATTCGAAGAAAACCTCGATCTCCAAAGACGGACAGAAGCTCAACGCTAGTCTAGCGAAATTCTTCCAGATGACCACATCTTGAACGCACAGTCAGATAGGCTGCATAGGGTCGAACGAACGAAAGGAATTCGATTTCCTTCCACCTTTGTCGTGTCTAGCCACTTACGGAAAGGGTCAGTTGGACTCCATCCTGGGTCGTAACCACAGCACCCAATCTTATGCCACGCAGGCCATAATTCATACCGATTCGTCCCTGCAAACTTTGAGGTCTTGAACCGATTAAATGCAGGCAGGTAACTAAACGGGTTTTGGTTGAGGTAATGGCTGTCACTTAGTCCTGTCAACCACGATACGATGGGGAAGCCTAGCCTCACTTTTGATCGGAATCATGGTCATGAATCACAGACATTTTACTCAGGCGATTTTTATTAAGGGTTCGCTGACGGACAAACCCAAACACCGCTTTCGGACACTACACGGAGAGCGCGAGACATCAGGGCTATAAGGTATGGTGTGGCTGGCGTTTCGATATGTGAGAGCGTGTATAACAGTCTGAAAGCACGGGCCTGGATTCCTATATGACACTCCTACTATTGAACTTACAACCCTGAAGGCCCGTAATCTCCTTCGGTTGCTAGATCTCTCAGTGAAAACAAATTCCCTGGTTTCTCAGAACGAATATTCTACTGTGAAAGTGATAAGAGCGTAAGGGGAATATCCTACGTCGCTGACCAGTATTTATCCGACCGCTGCCACATGAAACTTGATGTCATAAGCACCACTGTTTCACCAGTCTGCCACACTGGCGAACTCAGTTTGACTGGCTTGAGCCAAAAGCCTATCCTGGAACAGGTGTACAATGTCGTCGATTGGACCATTCACAAATGAATTTCCAATTGAAGGCAATATGTTTGAGGTGTAAGATGACGCAACACGCATCGAGTTCCGAATAGTTATCACTGTTTTCGTTTTTATGTGAGAGTAGGTCTTCCTGATAACATGTTCAGTGGTCCTTTGTTTGGCTAAATGAAAACCCTGGCTGACGAGGGCTAATAATCCCCATACGGTTCCACCATGTCACAGTATGATGCGTGACTAATGGCATTCTCCTTAGACGCAGTGGTGAGACAGGAATGAGAATAGTTGAAAAACACCCGAATTCAGGTGGGTGGGTACATGTAACGTGGTTGGTCAACTCCCCATCAAGGAAACGTTTTGGCGTTTCCGGAAGGTGATTCTTCGAGGATTACTGTATGGGTGCTTGGTACTTATGCATGCTGAGGTCACATTTAGAGAATTAAATGATTTCCTTTCTAAAAATGATAGCTTAGTATGAATCAGCGGCCATTGGCACATCAACGTCTCCCTTAGTTCATGGAGAAGTAAACTCCGGAACCTGCGTAGTTAAGGCACTCAAGAAGCGGTTAGACGATTGCCGCCTAGGGTTCATCCACAACTGTTCTCATTTGATCTTCCGAACGGCCCTGTTTATATTGGCTGTCTACGTCTCTCCACCACATGCTTTAAATTTTCACGTGACTGATCGAATTCATTCAACCCACTTTGTCGTGGCTACTGTGTTGCTGAAAGAAACATGGCTGGTCCTTCCCTTTCAGTGACGGATGATAGTTTTTGCACCATATACAGAAGAGATAGATCCCGAAAATCCGGATGCTTTTGTCGAAAACGAGACGTATGGTGGGGTGATTTGGAGAACACCGTTGAACATGATCCATTCAACGAGGCCAAAGCCGCTGCCTTGTCTGCTATACTTTTCACCCCCGAGGAGCGATTATTTTGGATGAGAGCTATGAACCGTAGAACACAACGAGTACCTAACACGCGGATAAGTGGAGATAGACCAGATATTAATCCAAGGTGGTGGATTGACGAGCAGATGGTCCAAGATGAGGAGCAGTTGAAAGACTACCACGAACTATTGCGATTACAGATGGCGCGGAAGCAGTTGTACGCTGAACTAAGTGTTGTAAATGACGAGGACGGTGTGACGGATGATGACCTAGATGAATACGCCTCAGAAATGTTTGGTCAGTATCATCGCTGACGTTTTCCAGGTTATTGTAGCTGCCCATATTCGTCACCAAGAAGAGAAAGATGTACATCCTTTAAAAAGACTTCCAATTTAGCCACAATGATGAATAAATACAAAATATACAAATATACAAAATATACAAAAAATAAATGCAAAAAGGTGTTTCCGATTACCAAGGGATTTGCTCGTTTACGCAGGCTTCGTTCAGTGTGTAAGGGGGCCGTCCATTTTCTGTGCCAATCAGTAGAAAAACTGCACCGATCAGCTTGACTGGGCTTAAAAAGATTTGTTGGCCCATGCCGCAGGAAAATCAAGGACCAAGAGCCAAGTGTGTAGCACCACGAAGCTTTGTGCAGCACTCTGGTGTTTTGTCGCTGCAACCGAAGCACGCGTTCACATTTGCTCAGATTTTGCTTTATGTCATTCTTAGACCATATGACTATCAAAATACTTACTGTGGTCTTCATCTCAGAATCTTTCGTGTCATCCAAATCTCTCTCTACAGATATGATCTTTTGGGGTAGTTCACTGTACTCTCTTGACACCACTGATGGGAGTAGCATCCCTTCATACTAGAATAGCAAAGTATGTTTGTTAGATTTTAAGAGGGAAATTTTGACTAAGCCACAGGTGTTTGTTAAGTTATGGTTAACGGGATGAGCTCTCTGGTCCTTCATCACAGCACGGTGTGTTCCGAGACACGATTTGCGCATCTGGCTTCAGAAAACAACCGGGAATATCGTGGGTTGCTTAAAAAAGTAAAGTTAGTTGGGCAGTGGAATCTTTTCAAATGAGCTGAATGATCCCCATTTTAGCGAATATACACTCATTTGCAAACTAATTTGGTTCTTTCGAGAGACTCACCTGGAACCCAGCTGAATCTCTCGTTTTTTTATGATATTCTCAGGCAACTGAATGTGCTGCATCGGGCCGCCTCGTGTTTCAGTCGCTACGATATTTGAAATATCGCGATACAATACAATACATACGATACAATACAATACAATATCGCGAACCGAATTAGTTTTCAAACGAGTGTATATTCGATAACTTCGTGCAATTTGGTTTCAAGTAGAACATAAGGTTGACGGAAACTCGGGGACTGCGCCTACCTGATGAGCCCCAAGAAGGGCGAAACCGGTCGTGGGCTGTCGATGGATTTTCAGCAACCTTATGAGTAGTACATTACAAAGATCCCCATTTTAGGTTTACTACTCATGATGTGATAATCGAAAGAGCTAAGCCAACATTAACAAATCATAATCTATGCAGATAAACGCTTACCGAGCAATTTAGTTCACATGTGCCTCGAGATTTCTGCAGTGTTGACTAAAACAGTTAGGCTGCCCACCGTGGAGCGTGAGCTCAACCGTGAACCTCATAAGCCGGTGGAAAATCGCACAGTCTATGAGATAACTTCTTTGTCCGTTTCAATACGTTGTCAAGCATATTACTAATGTAATCCGCCGTTTCAAAGTCCTGTTCACCAGAGGTAAAAATCGATTTCCATGTATCTCAGGTTCCTGATACATGCAAAATGGTGGTCTCTGTGAGGGAATAGTAGTCCGAAATTGCCAGTATTTGCTGGCCCCGTTCGGAAGTTTGATGTTTTTGCCCACCCAGCAATATCGTCGTAGGGTCCTCAGGACTAATTTTTTTTAGCGATGTAATCTTCATTCTGGTGCATATAATGGCATGGTTTGAAGCTTCGTAAATGGATTCCTGTCTCTAGACCGAAGCTTTCAGTAACAAGTGGACTCTTCTCTTCTCCTAGTGAAATGTTACCGGAATTCACGGATTTGACGTAAAGCAGTTACTGCATGATTAGGCAGGATTGCAAAGTCAGAAATCCACTCCAAATGCTCTAAGGAAAGCAAAGTATTTCACACTGGGAACACCACCAAATATAGCCATTTTCTCGAGCATTTTTACAGATAGATTAGTGGTACTCCAACACAATAAAGTCCTTTGCAACATGCAAAAAAATTTTTTATTATCGAAATCGTGTCTTGATTAAAATTGCTTGCCGGATGCCTAGGTTTTCACCCAAATAGCCAACCACGTTAAGAGGTAACAGCTAGACTTCAAATGCTATATAAACGCACGCAGGCTGATAGGAAGTACCCACCCAACTGCGCACTGATGATGTCTCCTCGTATGGTGATGAAACGTTTGCAAGTCAATTGCCATGCTCGGCGAACAGACCAACAGCCTCCTGATAAACAACCAATAGGTTTATCTGATTTTCACCGTCCTTTTTCTTAACTCAACCCTAGATCCCAACCGCTAATCATATTCAGCTTCGTTGTTTATCCATGTAATGGTCAATTCCTAGTTAGGTTGGTTCCATTTGTAGTTCGTAGCATATCTGAAGGAAAACACCAAGTACATTACGCTATAATTCACTACAGCCTTATTAAATATTCACCCATTGAAATGAAGAAATTGGGCGCAACATAGAGTTTTCACGTTCGGTTACCGCGTACGAAATTGTTTGATTTTCCTTGAGTTTATGTCAAATATACGAATTGTTTCCCACCATAACTACCTTACTTCTCTGAGTATTATCTTGACACTCAAGCGGTAAGCTAGAATTGATACTAACAAGCCAGACAAATATCTTCTAGTGTAGATCTTTTGTTCTTCCTCACAACCGACTTAGATTATCTGTGATGCTGTATCGTGAATGAGGACTGCTTACAGAAAGTGGTCCGGGAGTGCACTTTTCAATCAACTTAGGAGCTACCAGCGTGACGGAATGATACGCAATTTATCGGTGATGGTCCCATCGCTAAAGAGCCATGTTTAGATGCGTTTTGTTCATCTTACATTTTACCAGAACTGCTCCTAATCGTCTGCATGGAATGCAGCACTGTTATGGTTTACGAAATAGTGCGTTGTTTCTGAAATATGAATTACGGACTTGATTCCCGACAGCCTGTCGTTTGCAGGATGCTCCGAAATACAGCTCAACCCTGACTGGGGTAAGGCAAAATGCTTTGTTCCAAGTGTTGCCTTAGTATGTCTATAACCTCTGCAATTGCTGGATACTGTCGAGAACCATTTCGTTTTAGGTGGAGGTACCCTTTCGAGCTCCCCGTCACCTTACACAACCACATACAAATTATGACAAAGTGATTATTACCAGCGAGTTTCAAGCCCCTAATCATTCAGTATCTTTGATGCACAAGCAACTAAGCTTGCACTTTAGGGTACTGCATTATTTCAAAGTTTCTAAGACATTGTTCATGGAGATTGTTGAGCATTCAATGCCTGTTCGTTGTCCCAATATTTTATTGATTTATTCGGCACGATATAACATGATGGAATTGGTGACATATTTCAGGTTTTATTGATTCGTATGCACCAATATTGATGCGCGACGAAAATTCTCTCCACCAACAGTTATTCTACATTCTGTCTGTCTTTGAAACGCAAAGTAGTAACTAGCATATGGGGTTCTAGCTTTTATTTGGTCTGAACCTAAATCTGAAAAGCAAGTAGGATGTTTCCACGTGGTGCCTTATGGAACATTTGGTGTTCCAACTAGTTACTTTTGTGAAGGCGTTGTGACCAGTCGAGTAAACGATGCCCAACATTCTGATGACCAACTGTGGAAAAATTTTTGCGGCTTCAGTCCATCACATTTGTAATCCTGTATAGCAAAGTTGCTAAAGTTTATAGCAGAAGAACAAGTCCCACTTCTTTGGTTTCAAATAAAAAATGGCCTTTTGTAAAGTGCTAGGACTTCTCCATCAGGAACAATATCACCATTTCACTTGGTGGCGGGTTGAGGAACACGGTGATACATTTGCTTCTCAGTGGAACCAGTGATTTTTGTTGTGCAATATGGCCATCAAACAATGTTGCGAATTTCACGAAGTACATCCCCGCATTAGCTTATGTTAAAGTAGTGTGTATAGGCAGCTAAGGTTAAAAAGCTCACATCTGTTGACCTATTGAAGACCGTCTAACACATGGAAAGCCATGTTCTGGTGAACCGAATGGAATTCAGATGCCTTTCAGTTTCCACACTTGGTACACTCTTTTGTTAGACTACCTAGAGGTGGTGAAGTCAATGGACCTTTTCGAGAACTTTCCCAGAATAGCGCCAGATGTTGGATGTCGTTTGTTTGTTGGTCTGTTCGGCAAGTTTGGTGGTTGGATTTCATCACCAATTCAGGTGACATCGTCAGTGGTGAGTTGGATAGTTATGTTTCTTTTCTTTTACCTGTGTTTACATAAATTCCAAATAGTATTTGATAACTCTAAACCGATTCGTTGCTCTTGCAATCGATGCCGTAAAACTGCCGTACAAACATAAGGTTCGTCTAGTTATATATATATATATATATACATATAATTATATTAAAAGCCCTAGAGTGAGAAGAGAAAAAGAGTGGCTGGGGGGGAAGACCTAGTGCTGTCAAGCATTCTGAGGTGGCTACACCTCCGACCACTCAATCAGACAAACTGGAAACTGACAGCACGAGCTCCACTGACATCGATTAGCCGCCATTTCTTACAACGTCTCCAACCAGTCACAGGCGAGGTCACGGGGACCCCATTCTGGAAGGCGTACAACACCAACAACAC